ACTTGCAGAACAGTATTTGTTAATTTTTAGCTAAAAATTCACAAACAACAAGAGAATTGTGAGCAGGTGTATTATCATGGTACAAAATCCAAGAGTTTTCTCACCACAAATCAGGTCATTTTCTATGAATTGTTTTCATTCATTCAAATGATACAAAAGTGCTCAAATAAAATTCTTTGTTGACATTTGGCCAGTCAGAAGAAATTTGTGATACACAACATCACAAGAATCAAAGAAAACAGTTAAGACAACCTTGATTTTTGACCGACTTTTTTTATGATATTTTCATTCTTAATTCAACTTTCAAGTACCAATCATTTGATTATTGAGCTGTTTCAGTGTCAAGAGCATAGATCCACATTTCATCATCTGTAATGATGCATTGTAAGAACGATTTGCCCTAAAAAACATTTCCTCAGCCACTTGAATACATTCTTGTTTCTGAAAAAAATTCAACATTTTTGAGATGATCTCACAAGCAATGTACCATCAGCCCAAATAATCTTTTAAAATTGCTTAACAACATTCAAGTTAAATGACAATCACTGAGCATCAAATCTGAATTGAGCAATGTGTTGTTCATCAGTTGAAGTGGATGGTTTACCAAAGCATGGTTCATCTTCAATATGCTCTCTGCCTTCCTTGACAAACAAACTATTGTAAAATGTTGGAAAACCCTTGTATTTGATAAACTATCGTCACCAAAGGCTTTTTGCAACATTTCAAAAATTTTTGTAGCAGTAATTCTGTTATGAAAACAAAATTTAATGCACATTCTTTGCTCAATTACATTCAACATTTTGAAAATTGCCGACACAAAAATTCTTTACACACAAAATAAGCATTTATTTGCAAATGAAAACAGACAATGACATACAGATTGCTGCCAGATGTAGATGAAAATCATACCAAACAATGAAAAAAGCCAATAACTGAATAACTGTGCTCTCTTGCACATGCACAGTTTAAATGAACCATTCCCAATACTTTTTGATCATAGTAGTATTTCTAAATATTTTTTCCTGTTGATAATAAAAGTCGAAAATTTAATTATATAAAGAGTCCAAAATACATAAAATTGTCATGTCACATTTATTAAACTAGTTTTATTTTAATTCAATTTTATTCATGAATTAACGTTAAAAAAATAACCTTTGATTTTTAAAAACAATCTTTTTCCCACAACAAGTAACAAAGATTTTGAACAACATTTCAAAATTAATCAGAAAATCTAGATCTTCTGTATATAATTTATCAAAAAGGTATTACAGTAAAGCGTTGTTTATCCGAATCCATTGGGGACTGGGGTTGTTCGGATAACCAATTATGTATGAAAAAATACATTAACCTATCCCATGTTGAAATTTTTCTCTGTTGCATGTCGCTTCCTGTTGAATTTTCGTCAATGTTAAGCCTAATGTAAACTTTTTAAAATAATAATCGTGGCTATTGTATCGTTAAAAATTATTTCTTTATTTTTTACAAACAAAATAAATACAGTAGAGCGTCGATTTTCCGAATCAATTGGGGACTGGGGTTGTCCGGATAACTGATATTTCGGATAACTGATTTACGTACGAAAAAATAGTTTAACGTATCCGATTTCGAATTTTTTCTCCGTTGCTTGTCGCTTCACATTGAATTTTCGTCAATGTTAAGCCTAACAAAGACTATTGTATCGTTAAAAATTATTTTTTTATTTTGTACAAACAAAATAAATATATTGAAAAATATAAAAACAAAAAAAAATTATACTTTAGAAGTTAATCTAGTATCAAAAACATTCGATTTAGCATGACACACAGTCCTGAGAAAAACACCACAGAAAAGTGCCAGTGCTGCCAGCTAAAAAACACACATCAACAAAAAAAATATTGGAGTAGCCCAAGATATAGCCAAAGATTGCAGTGCCACAGCACTAACAAAAATTTAAATTTGCCAACTGGAATTCTTTCAGATAACCGACTTTCGGATAAATGAAGCTCTATTGTATTTTAAAAGTTTATTGACTTTTAAAATAATAAACAATAAGGATGAGTTATATTTTAAATAATTCACTTATCAAACCAAAACTTTTTTTGAAAATAATCTTTGTGCATAGCATTATTTTTAAAAATTTTCTGTATACTGTCTGTTTGGAAAGTTCCAGGACTGACATTTTATGAGACAAGTAATGCCATCTACATGATTACTGTGTAATCTTTTAGTTAAAACTTTCATGTTTAGATTCATTTCTTGATTTATTTCAGAATGCTCTTGTCAATCTTTTTTCTACTGTTTGTATTGAATAAAGTAATACTTTTCTGCTTGTCAAACACTTTGTGATGGAGCAAAGAACAGTAATGAAATTTAATTGTAAAATTTGTAAAACATCATAAAAATATCAAAAATTTTGTATGGAGATGATTGTTTATCACATTCAAAGGTGTTTCAGTGATGCAAGCAATTTCAAGAAAGGAAGCAATTTCTTGAAGGTGATGCAAGATGATGCTTGTCCCATTTTTTGATGAAGACTATTTTCTTCCATAAAGAATTTATCCCAGCAGGCACCACAATGACTTCCTGCTTCTATATGGATGTGCTGGAACATCTTTGCAACAGGATTCAGCATGTTTGCCCTGAAGGACAAAGCATATTTTTTTTTCTGCTTTATGACAATGCACTAGCCCATTTGGCTGGAATTGTGCAGACAAATGGGCTAGTGCAGCCCATTTTTAGCTCAAAAACAAGCCCAATGCTCATCATCCCCAGTATTTGCCAGACCTTGTGCTGTGTAACTTTCCTCTTTCCATGGCTCAAAATGCACATAAAGAATATGATGATTTAGAAGACATTCAAGCCATTGTGACATAAGAATTGAATAGAATTACAAAAAAGTTTTCAAGCAGCTTTCAATGCTTGTATGAATGTTTCCAACAGTACATCAAGACAGAATGGCTATGTTGAACATCATAAAGATTTAAAAACTTTCTATTTACTTTTGGATTTTTTTAACAATAGTTCCAAACTTTCCAGGTAGATAGTGTATTTAAATGTTCTTTATAAATTCATGATATTATCACTTTCAAGAAACTACTATATTGTTAAAGAAGTACATTTTTAAATATGTATTCAAAATTAATGAATATATCTATTAAAATTATCACCACAATACACAAAAATATACATTTCAAAGGCAAATTTTTTATATAAATCAATACCTGATTCTATAATATAGGGACAAAGATAATTTTAAAATATTTTTCCACTTTGCAAATGACTGTGTATGGGAGTATTGTGATTCCTGTGCTCATGTGTGGTAGTGAAACTTGGATATGGCAGAAGAGTCACAAAAGTCACATTACTGCATGTAAGATGAGATATTTGATAGGAGTGTGTAACATAAGGAAAAGAGACTATGTGAGAAATGAATGAGTGCTGGAAGCATGTGGGGGTGAAAGAGAATATGGTTTAAAATATGGTAAAATTGGCCCTATGATGGTTTCACCATGTTGAGAGAATGAAAGGAAAAGAACTGTTGAAGAGAGTATACATGGGCATGATGGATGGGAAGCAGAGTAGGGAAGACCAAAAAAAGTCTTTGCTGGAAAAGTGAATGAGTATCTGAAAGAACACAAGGTGTTGAGTCAGAAAGAGAATGTGAAGAAGTGTGCTGGAAGAGGCATGAGTGCATCTGAAGCAAAGGAGGTGTGTCTGGACAGGAAGATGTGGAGAAAGTTGCTGAATGGATATTTTATAAGATTATAATCTCCTTTTGTCAGCTGCTCTCCTTTTTTGGATTTTGAGCATAAAAATAAATATATATATGCTGCTTCCACTTTATCTTTTTAATTTTTATTGATTATAATTATCTGTGATAAAGTATAGAGAAGAAGTTAAGCAGTATATTACTTATAATAAAAATTACCATAACTAATTATTATTGTTATCAAAACAAAAAACATTAATATCTCTGAAAACTTGATATTAAAATAAACTTTATTTAAATATTTTACAAAAGGTTGCATATTATGTGGGTTATTTTTTTTTTCAACCTCCACTAACGCACGAAAAAAAATTGGAAGCATGTGAGACAGGGACAGGGTGCACACCTAGTGGGTCGTATATTCCCTCACCACTTAGCATTGTGCCAAGCTATTTTAGACATTTGCTACTGTGCAGTAAACATGTAAACATTGCACCACCACTCCAGTCTCCTGCCAACTGTGAAGTATGAGCAGTAATTTGATTTCTACAGGCCGAAGGGCTGAATGGAGGTGAAATTTATCAAAGGATGTGTAATGTTTATGGCGTGAACTTCATGAGTTACAGATGTGTGCGTGAATGGTGCAGGAAATTCAAACAAGGACATGACAACGTTCATGATGAGGACAGTCAAGGGAGAAGTGTGTGATGACCAACGATTTGGTGGACAAAGTGGATCAATTGGTGTGAGAAAGGTATTGGTTTACAATTGGCTAAATGGCCAGGTGGCAATGATCTTCAACATGGATATACAAAAGTCATGGTATAGTGTCACGCATGAATCAAAAAGGCAATTATGTGGAAAAATAGGTCAAGACTGTAACTACCTTCTACAAATAAAGTGGTTTTGCTCGTCATTCTTGTTTTTTATTCTGGGTCGCTGGAGGTTGAAAAAATAACCCTCGTAAAAAAGTTAAAAATCTGATTTAATTCACGATAATACTTGAAGGCAAACTAAAATTAAATTTAAATTTAATCTTTATAATATCATAATCATTGCCATAATATTTGCTTTTGGCATATACATTATTATATCTAATGGCTGAACTAGCTGTTTTCTCATGTTTTAAAACCCATTCAATAACTCAAACTACATTTCATTTCCTTGATAAAAAATCTATATAATGTATATTTGAGAATAACAATATACACATACAATTGTTATTTTCATACTGTATTGATTAAGTTCAAAATATAACAACAAATCCCAATTTTTCAATAGCACAGGTATCAGAAAAATTAATAAAATACTATACCTGTACAGGATGAACGCCTGCCTCTCCATCTGTACTGTGGATTACAGAACCTTGAGTAACTTTATTCAAAAGTATCACATTCTTAGGCAGCTAGAATGATATATATACATATTCCCCATAAAAATATAAAACTAATCCCAGATAAATTTATTAGTATTATTTTCTACATGGAATATTTTTATTTTCAAATTAAATAAAATAAAAAAGTAAGGAAATGAAATGTAAACTTAAAAATTAAAAGTATTTATAAATAAAATTTTGCATGCATTTTAACTATTCGTTAATAAAACAAAAACAAAAAATACTAAAAAGAAAAAAAATCAAATACAGAGAAACCATAAAAATAGTTTATAACAAAATTTTATATTTTATTTACCTGCATTGATTGCAAAGTATTACCACCAGTAGTTTGAATAACAGACTGTTGATTAGGACCAGGTTGTATGACAGACTGAACATGGACTGGTTGATTAGGAAGAGTTACATGGACAATAGATACTGCACCACCTGGTTGTGGTAGAGCAATAGCTTGAGCTGTAGAACCACCTGATCCTACCTGTTAGAAATTAAAAAGTTTGTTTTAGTCACTGTTATAACTATTTTAATTAATATTACCATCATTAAATACATTGTCACTCTGGAAAACTTAAAAATATGACCACCATTTTGCCAGTTTAAAATTTTTTTTGCTACTTCAAATTATTTATTGCCACCAATTTTACTTAATTAATGCAGGTGCCGATAGCTTATCAGTTTGGCATCTGGAAAGCAAAAGTAACATTTTAAACTCATTTACAAGGAGAAAGCCAGACATTCAGGTCTCAAATTTGAACGAAACTTGATGAGCACATAGCCTTAAGCACAAACAGCTCCTTGTCCAAATAATAGGACAAATGTTTCAAGCATTTCCAAAAAATGGCCTCTGAAAATTTTGTGTTTAGCTTATAAACCTTATTCACTCGACAATAGCCGAGTGAATAAGATGCTATGCACTGAAACTTGAGAAGTGGATCCTATTATTTGGATGATGAGCCATTTGTGTTTAAGACTATGTACTCACCAAGTTTCATTCAAATCAGAGACCCAAACATCTGGCCCTCCCCTTGCTAGCAATAGGAATCATTTTTGAATAATTTTTTAATGAATAATTCTGAATAACACATTTGATCACAATGTTTAAACAGTATTTCACAAGTTCTGTCATGTCAGGTTTTAGCCTACTGAGAAAAGATCAAAGTGAAAAAGTCATCCTAAAAAAATTCCCCAAATTTTCTTTCTGTCGATAAAAAATTCCCCAATCTAAAAATGCTAAATGGCATTGAACAAAACTGCCTTTGGTTCTCAATGTCACTTCCTACTTTTCTGTCTAAACTTGCCACGTGACGTCATGAAATCACTAGGTGTGTGGTGCACGGAACTCTCATTGTACAGAAGCTAAACATTTTGCTGTTTTTCTTTAAGTGTGATTTGTGATTCAAGTTTACACTGAATGTCAAAACAAGCAGACTAGGATTTAATTGCCACTTTCAATCACCAGTATTATTATTTTTTTTATTGCAACCTTAATAAATATATTTGCCAAGTGGTGATTTTGGCTCTATGCAGTGTGACCTGATTAATTAATAATACTTTAGACCAGAGGGTCACCAAACTTTTTTACAGCAGGCCACATAACTGAGAGAATGACGAGCGTGGGCTGCATAACCATTTTGTTCAATGAAGCACATTGAATATAAAAAATAAAGACGACTAACAATTATTTACCAGTGGCTTGCACCCATGGAAGCTGTGGAAGCACCACTTCCCTTGTATTTTCTAAAATATAAATACATAAATAGAATCTCTGGAAATATAAATATAAATACACACATTGCAATTATTTTCATATTTTAATGTACTTTGAATTACAGTAGACCCCTCTATAAAACAGGTTCATGTAATACAGATTCGTATAAAATGGCAAAAAAATTGCGATCGTATTCATATAAAGATGCTAAAAGAGACTCATATAATACAGTAAAACGTCATCGCTGATTCATGTCGCGATAGGATTGGTCGAATCTAGAACAATAGCAGATATTACACAAACCATTGAGTTTAAACAAGCAGTGGACCTACTAAAAACCATTTATTATTTAACGTCCATAAAAATTATATTTATATTAATGATGTCTCCAAAGTTAAGCGAATTTTTCGCAGAAAAATAACTTATCAGGAAACACGCGCCCACTGTTCAATGCACCACTCCACGACAAAAACAAGCTTAAGCAATGGCGTCGTCAAATGGTGCACACTCGATAAGTAATCCTACAATTTTTTGTTTATAGCACAGTTTATATGGATTATTCCCAAAAAATTATACATGTTTTGGAAATGTTGAGTCAAATTAGTCTAGAATCGATTAATTTTATGGAAGAAAACCTTTCAAACAGCTATAGTCCCTAAACTGCATACGTGCTGGGCTGTGATTGAATCATGTATTTAATTAAGTGACTCGTACAACATGGAATTCATAAAACATGAAACATATCTACCGTGTTATAGGGTGAGCTACTGTAATTAAAATTAATATTTTATTATAACTGCATTATGTATTTCTATACATATGAAAAACAATGATAAATTTGTATCTGCATATTCCCAATAGAAGTGCTGTTTTGTCAAATATAAGATAGCTTCCATAGCGAAAATATTTCAATCGTGTAAAGCAGCCAGATTACAAGCATTTGCACATGCACTTTACAGAGCATCAACCTCACATGGTTTAGCTCTTGGATGCTACACACCAAAATATCATATAATGCTTCCAATGACTCTATCCAAGGCCGACACAGCTTCCCTATCATCAAATCAAATGTCACCACAAGCTACTGTTATTTACAAATACACAAACATGATCGCTGCAGCAAGCTCATAAGTGCTTTTCTTAGAAACTTCATTGCAGATACTCACACAAAAAGCACTCTGATATTCAAAGTCACAAAAAGTCGCTGAATGTTCTATTTCATTGATTTTCCTAAATATTAAATTATTACTGTCAGATGCAAAAATCAGACTGGACCAATTTTGACATTTTTATTTACACTTATTTTAATTTTTCTACGTAGTAAGTTTATCTACAATCTATAATATTTCCATATAAATAATTATATTTTAGCTCAATTATGGCACAGTATGGTGGAGGGCCATAGTTTGGTGACCCCTGCTTTAAACAATAACTAAGCTATCTGTTTGTTTATTACATTAAAAAATTGTTCTTACTTTACTAGATCACAACTTTACACAATCAATTTTAATGAGAAATGTTGTTTGGGAACATGCTCTCTAGTCATTGTAGTGTGTAATATTTGGAATCATTTTAAAATTAAAATATAAAACATAATACAAAACAAAATACAAATACAGTAAGCACATAAAAAATTATTTTATCAACAAAAATAATCCATTTGTTATGGCTATAGAACCACCTAATAATTTTCAGACTATTACACCTTGACTTAGAAGCCTGTGGACTAAACAGAATTAAAACACACTCTTCTTTTCTTTTGTATATATACAGTCTAGGTAAATCAAAGAAAATCTAAGAATTTCTTTGCAGACAATCTTAGGCAGTTTTGGAGATAAGGCTGTTGATAAAAGTATAAGCATGTGTCAAGTCACTCAAGAAGAAAGCACTTAACAGTCAACAACTGAGACCTACTCAGACATGTTGCAAGAATACAACTGAAGAACTGCTATACTGGAATCACTTTGCACCAGAAAGTTGCTTCACAGCTATATGCTACCTGATGATAAATTTTATAATCATTAGAAAACATTGAATCAATTGCAAGAGCCATGTTTCTATAAGACAGAACACATCCCATCCTATATATCAGATTCCAAAAGTTAGGAAAGCAATATTTATTATTTAAACCTGCAATATTATAAAATAGAAGTTTCATATCATTATTATCCAAGTACAGAACTTTATATTTGTCATCCTTATCCTTTTTATCATCTTACTATTTATCATTGTAAACTATATTGCTAAAAACATTGTTCTCCATCTGTCTGGATAATTTCACCTTTGAAATTACACACAAATGTCTTATCATCTATGATCAATCAGTTATATCACAATTTAACATTCCTAGCTCCTTTTGAATGCATTTCTTTACCATAGAGCCTTAATTTGTTTCTGATAGTTCTTGATCCGTCAAATAGTCATTGTTAATGAATATACTTAAACCTTTTAAATTACTAACATTTTTATATACTTTTAATTTATCTTCAAAACTGATCAACTCACAAATAATTAATCTTTTTACCCTTTGCTTTATATTTTCCAATTCTAGAAGCATGCTTAATGTTCACGTCTGTAACCTTTAAGTTATTGTTAAAAAGTTCCTGAACATCACATAAGCTATTGTCCATTTTATCATTATCCTCTAACATTGAGATTACAATATTATTTCTTGTTTCTTTATCTTCTAAACTCATTAACTTTCCATGCAAATTATTACTTATTGCATCAATTTCCATAATTGAATTTATCATTTTTAACAAATTTTTTCTCTATCAGTTTCAAGGACAGAGAGCCTGGATTCAAGAACTACCATAGCAGTGTCTATATTTTCAATCCACGCTTGCATTCTATCTAAACACTCTAAAAGAATTTGTAATTTACTATTTGAAGAAGCTTACAATTTCAACAACAGTCAAATTCCTTCTTGAACATTAATCTCCTTTTTGGCACTTATATAAGACAAGATCAGCTGGTTTGTTGACTCACCTGAAACCTTCTCTTCGCGTCTCATTCGTTTTCTTACATTTCATGGAGATCTGTCATGAGATAAAGGCAAAAAGTTTTCCTTTTCTGAGATGGAAATTCTGTCATTTTCCAAGAAAAAAACAAAAATGAGTCATATAACCTCTTACTTGAAACCAATTAACCGAAGTAAAAAATTGTTTCTCAAGTGCAAACGTTTTCAATGCCTCTTCTGGGCTCTTCTTCAGGCATTCTATCCAAACTGTTGCAAAGTGGTTTTTTAAACTTTTGAAGTTCTTTAGAAGGCATTCGAATTTGTATTCGTAATGCGCATGCATTCCAAATTTATTCAAACATCGTGAGCTTATTGTATTTTATTCATGTTTATAATCGTTTGAATTATAAACAGTTCACATTTCGAATCCCTTGGAAGCTCACAATGTTTGAATAAATTTGGAATGCATGCACATTAGGAATACAAATTCGAATGCCTTCTAAAGAAATTCAAAAGTTTAAAAAACCAGTTTGCAACAGTTTGGATAGAATGCCTGAAGAAGAGCCCAGAAGAGGTATCGAAAATGTTTGCACTTCAGAAACAATTTTTTACTCTGGTTAATTGGTTTCAAGTAAGAGGTTTTATATTTCAACCCGATGTGTTAGGAGGTTAAACAAAAATGAGTCAAATCACAAGAGAGCAAAAAATTCATGCCAACAGCCACAATAGTCCATTATGCCTAAAAATATGCATGGATGGATCAAGAAATTCTTATAGCCTGATTTTGTAATGTGTTTGTAGTTCAGGCAAAACTGTATTTTAAATCTAAAAATTTACCAGAAAAGACACTTTTAATTATGGACATTGTGGGGCAATGTCCATAATTACATTGAATACGTTGAATGACTTAGAAGTTGATAAAAATATAAAATGCATCTTTCTTCCTCCCAACACAACCTCTACGATTCAGCTGTTGGATCAGAAAGTGATTGAAAATTTGGAATGTCGCTACCAAAAAGTATTTGTTTAACATTTTATTTCTTGTGATATGGGTATGAATTTGGATGAATTTTGGAAACAATACACTATTAAACATGAAATTTTCAACATCGCCAAAGTGTGGAATAATGTTTCAAATGAAACAGCATCTCAAATTGGAATAAAATTTGGCCATCATATGCACTTAATGAAAGTAACACCAATGAAAACAAACAATTGCTGGATGATGTTTCTTGAATGTATAATGACACTTTTCAAACAGAACAGGATGATGTAAATGACTGGCTGAATATGGATAGCTCAAATTTTGAATGGCAATGAAATAATAGAATGAGTAATAAACAAGGATGTCCTTGCTCGTTATTCATTCAATCAATGGAGAAGCAGATAAAGATGATGATGAAAATGACATAACTAATTCTCAACATTTTAATTGCAAAGGAGATGAAGAAATGTTATCAAAATGCATCAAATCATACAAACAGCAAAATGAAGCAGAACTTCTGAACTTCATTGCAATGTGGCATGTGTGCAACTTAGCAATCACGAAAAAATGCAAAAAAATAGTTTAAAAAAAAGTAAGGTAAAGTATTATTTTTAAGTTATATTCTTAACTTTGATAAAATGTTTTTCAAAAGGTTTTGTAAAAAATAGGTTGTAAGTTATGTATTATGTTAATTAAAACTACAAAAGTATTTCAAAATGTGTTTTAATTATTGTTCCTAGAATTTTCTATAATTTGTCACATCTGGGACTGGGGGTGATGAATTATCAAGTTTCTAATGTACTCAAAAGATTAAATGTATCATCCTTCATTTAGACTATTACATAAAAATGTTCTTAACTAGAAATTATAAAAATTTTACAACACTTTATTTTGCTTTTTCTAATATTAGCTAAAGTTTAATTAAAAGAAGTGTACATGAATCACTTTACTTGGTAAGAATAATCAGTGATTTTTTTATTATTTTGAAAAATAATTTTCACACTATCTATAATTAATATTAAGAATTGTGATATATTTATTATATGTAATTTTCTGAAATAAAAAATATAACAACATAAATTTATCTTAACTAATCATAACCTATAAATAATAAACAAAAAAATCAGGTAAATGTGTAGTTAGGTAAACCAAATGATGCACTTCAGGAATCTCAACAAGTGTACTTTGTATCTTAATATAGGTGTCATTGCTAATAGTTTACAAGATTTCTATCATCAATTGGTTTCTTGATTAATTTCTTAACATTTTATAACTGTTAAGAGTAATTTAATTATTCAGTTTCAAAGATTTGTTTCTTGTTGTTTGACTATTTTTTTTTGAAGTTTATATTTGATATTTTCTTTTTTATTGCTGTAATGGCAGAATTAGTTAAAGGTCAACAGTTTTCTTGGCAAAAGTGTACTTTAAGAAATTTTTTCACTTTTTAGAATCAAATTTTCTTGAAATCAATGTTGACAAGTGAATTTCATCAGGTGTTAAATTTGCCATAAAGTTTGGTTTGCAACCTGTAGATGCAGATTGTTTGAATTGTTATGGTTGTTGTAAATTAATTTATCAAAAGGATCATGATTCTGTTTCTTTTAGATGTTATAAATGCAAGATGAACAGTTTGTCATTTGAAGCATCTTTTAAAAGTAAATTTGGGAAATTTTCTTGGGAAACTAATTTTCTGTTTATTTGGCATCTAATTTGCATAGAATTTATGTTGAGCATGACCTGTTTGGCTACAGGCTTGAGTAGTCAAACAGCTGTTGACTGTGCGAATTTCATACAACACATATATAGTATCATCATAGTATAATTTCATAGTATAATTTGACCTAAATAAAAATTGTCGAAATTGAACACATTGATATAAGCAAAAGGAAAAAATCAGGAGAATGTTTTGACCTGTTTGTTTAGAATACAAGTAAGTTTCATCCAAGAGCAGGACATGTTTCAGTTTGGAAAGAGTCAGAAATTGTATCTTTAGCCCTGAAAGTAAGTAACAATAAATCTGAAAATCGTGAGAGAAAGAATGTAGACGTGTGTTAAGAATGCAGAAAAAGTTTCTATGATGGGAAAGGATGACATTACAAAAGAATTAGCAGAATCATGTTCTATACCGAAGAAATTGAAGAAAAGAAAAGAAAAATATGTTAAATTGTGAGTGAAAGTATTTGAAAGGTCTGATGTTTAAATATTAAGTTAAATACATTCGAGAATACTTGCATCTGAAGATGGCCTATCACATTAGGTCAAAAAGTTAATGTTTCTTTAATAAATGTTTTCTCAGCATCAGGTGTTGGATGATTTATTATATTTGATTGGAAATTTTTTCTTTAAAAGCTGGTGTAGTTAGTAGGCGCCATCTTGTTTGTGGACATAGCATTCACAAACAAGATGGCAACCGGAAATACTGCCATCAGGTTCATTAACTACACATTTATCTATATCAGTGTTTCTCAACGGGGGCAATATCGCCCCATGTGGGCATTTTTCCATGTTGAGGGTGCGATTAGTAACAATTTATATTTTAGGGGACGAAAAACAATTTTCTGGGCGATATAGTAAAACATTATATTAAGAATAATTAGATATTTTATTTGTTATATTGTACAATAATTAAACAAATAACATTATACTAGTCACTAGTCTATTCAATGCAGTACGAACTTGGCGTTAGCCTTGGCCCTCGGCATTAGAATTTTGAAGTGAAGAGAGCGATACTATGTAACGGTTTTATTGAAGGGGGTGATACTACGTTGAAGGGGGTGACGATTCGTTAGAGGTTGAGAAACACTGATCTATATAATTAAATAAATTGAAAATATTTTTATTACTGCCTTTCGAACTTGATTCACTTGACTTGGTGTTGTAAAAAGAACGGCTCCATTAGACCTAACTTGTGATCCAGATGATGATACAGGTAAATTATCTCTGTCGCCACCAGGTGAAGTTGGAGACGATAATGCTCTATCTCCAATATGTAAAGTACTTCCTTGTTCATCTACTAAACTATCCATATCATTCTAAAAATAAAAAATTAAATATTTTTATTTGTACTATTATTTTTAAAATTAATAATTAATTATTAAATAGAAAATTATAAATTTTAAACAACTTTTAGTTTAATTTTTCTAAAATACTTACAATTATTTCTTCATATTTTAATTATGCATCATTCAAAAAATGAATCTAACAGTTTTTAACAATTATTTTTAATTAACACTGTAATATATTGATAAAAATGCACAAAAAATAAAGTAAAATTTAGCTTTTCTAGTTTGCGTGCCAGATTATGATAATTATTGTAGTTTGTATTAGGATCAAATAATAAAATTAAGTTTCTATAAATATCAGATTAAAATCTTTAAAATTTAAAGAAATTTTCAAAATAAAAATACTGTTACAAAATCTTAAAGTTAAAAAAGTAGAATGTTCTTATTCAAAAAGTAAATATAAAAATATATAGTTTTCAAACCGCACATTTTGACTACTATTTAAATGTATCATGAATCGTTTAAACCAGTGGTGCCCGAACTTTTCAACTGGCAAGCCAAATTGTACATAAGTCATAAGTAGATGAGCCACAAATATTTCATTTATTTACATACTATACACAAATATTTCATATACTCCACATATACTAAAAATAGGCCTATTTATAAGCAATTTGTCAAATATATTTGCAAGCTGGGTTAATGTGTGCTGTGGGATAGGTTTGGTCTAGAGACTGTAGTTCGGACACCAGTGCTTCAAACCAATAAAGTGCTAAATGTTATGATTTATTAACTTTTTTATATATAAATGATTGGAGAAATAATAACTGAATGACTAATATCTAGTTCTATTAGTAGAAGCACAATCCATTTCAACATTACCAATTAAATTGTTGCAAATCCTATTTATCTAACAGAATTAAATGTAACATTAGCTTTCTCTATTTAGAAATATTAATAAAAATTGATTCTTCAAAATCACCATAAAAAATTATATTATTATAAAAATTGCAATTATGCTGTTGGTTAGGTGTATGAAAATCAATTTACCAGAAAGAGCCAGATTTAAATCATGGTCAGAATGAATTGTATCCTTCTACCTGAAAGTAAGAAAATCCATTATCAATTTTATACATAACTGTTTTTACAAATTTCCTCTGTAGCCAATACATAATAAAAAATCCAAGTATACTTCTGCATGAATATCCTGTATATACACACATAATATACCTAAAATATAGTTAATAGACTATTGGTTTGATTATATATTCACTCATATTAAAAATTTGAGTGTTCTTATGCTAATTCTAAATGTTACTTTTTTAAATTAAATTTTTTTCATATTTATATTCACATTAAAAAATATCCAATATAAATTTTTAATAATTAACCATATCAAATTTAGTATATGTCCAATAATTATTGGATATATTAGTCATCATAAGTAATAACTATTTAATAATCATAGCATTAGAGAACCATCATAAAAAAACAATCATATACTGTATTAGGAAACTTTTGTTATGACAGCAAACTGACAAAGTATCTAATTTTAAAATAAACCAACAATGAGTTGCTCAACTTTCCCAGCAACATTTAAAATTTTGTTGGCACCATCTGTTATCATATTTTATTTAAAAAACCTGTTATATCTTTAACTATTATAAAATGCCTAATTTTGAGGATAGAGATACATTTTATAAAAAATTGTAAATGCTAATAATAAGTAAAATCATCATTAAATCTGACCCTACTGGGGATACTTACGACCCCCATTATCTCCCAACTTCCTTGACCTTTAATCACGAAAATTTAATAGCATCAATCCCCTTTAATAAACAAACCCATCTGCAAAATTTCAGAAATTTTTGACAAAATGCACAGGAGTTAAAAAAGCTTCAAAGTGGGTGAACAAAATCGTGCCCCCCCCATACACACTAAAACAAACCCTCAGATTTTTTTGCATTTCTTGACATTTTAAGGTGTCCTAAGTCCAAAAATGAAAAAATCTGGAGGGTCATTGTTTGACCAATCGTCGTACTTTTCCTCTGTTATATATAACAGTTGGGAAAGGAAAAGTGTGTATATCAGTTTAGTACATCATACAGTAACTTAAATTATAATTTTATAATTTCCTGAAAAATTCTAAATATGTGATGAATTCACTAGAATATATGTTTCTTCCTCCCCCTCAACATAAAAATGTTTTTCTGATATGATAACAATATAAATTTACAGTATATGTAAAAAACAATTATTTTATTATGTTGATAATGATGCTCTAAAGCAGTGCTCTTCTCATGCACAGCACACTTAAGCACTTCCCAAAATTCTATGACACACCACTAGTAAAAATATACAAAAAATACAGGTTACAAAGTACAACACACCAAAAATGACTAATTTACTGTTTTTTTTACTTGTGATAATATAAAAATATTTAAAACTAGCAATTATTTATTGTGACATTGTCATAATGCCAGGCTGCAATTTTTAATCATATTTTTAATTTATTTAATTTAAAATATATGCTCTCCATCTCAAATTAGTAGTGTCTTGCCCTCATACATCATACTTTTCCTTTAACAGTAGAATCATGCCAGTCATCTATCTAACATCTTTCAGGGGAAAAGTTTTGAATTGAAATATTGATAACATGGCTCCCAGTTTTCATTGAAAGTTCATATATAGTTAATTGGGAGCTCCTGTCCCTAAGGTTTCTATATCTGGTCACATCTATCTAACTACATTCTCAAGATTACAGAAAGACAGACAGATGGACAGACGACAGTAGGAATTTATACATCTACAATTTTTTCAAACTGCAGTCCAATTAGCTTTTAATTGCTATTCTTATTTCATTTTTTAACAATCAGAAACCATCCAGGACAAAGTATCATGCAGTCCTAGCATGAAAAGCACATGATTGGGATCTTGTGATGGTAGATACACATGGCAGACACATCATCTACTTGTCACTTCACAAAAATTGAGATGGCAACTGTAACTTGTAACTCAGCAAATTTACATGTGTACAGATTCTGAAATATGACTGCAAAGATATAAAATGTTGAAGCTTGTTAGAATTCCTTCTGTCACAAGTGTCAATTGCAAGAAATATGTAGGACAAATTATTGTCCCTTTTGAATCAAAATGTATTTATCATATCATATGCCCAACATAAATGCTGTGCTTTTCCTTCTCTTAGAGGTATTGTGTGCTACAGCATACATAGCATCATCTTGTGGCACACAGATTAGAACTCTGCTCTAAAGTCAGATATATATGGATGGTAAAATTAAGGCAACAATGAATATTGACTGCTGCCACCAATTACCTTTTTGACCTTGACAATAAAAATGGGCAATTGGTTGAACTTGTTGACATTCAATGTTATCTTAATTTTGCAATTTCTGTACGTCTGTCTTAAAGCAGGCTGTATTCTTATTTTCTCTTTTGACATATCAAAAATAATATTCTTGTATGTAGGACAAATTTTTATCTTACAATAAAAGCATCACAAATTTCATGGATTTGTTTCATAAAATAAAAAAATATCAAATATACTCCTAAATAGTTTTTTATTTCTGAAAGGAGCAAAAGTCAGTAGTTGAAACAATCTTTATATAATCTTCAACAATCTTCAATAAACTTTTAAGTTCTAAAACAAGCAATGAAATGAAGGCTTCCTGTTCTAAGTGAATTGAGAATAGAGTGATGTTCATACTACAGAAAATTGTAATGAAAAAGGGATATAACTATTCAATCAAAAATTTAACAGTAAACTGAGATCCATTAATTTTATAAAATAAGAAAAAACAAATTTTTAATTAGTTATTTTTTATTCTAATTAACAATTTCATCTTTTTATAATTGCTGAATTATTAAAATTAGAAATTAAACACTATTACATAAAAGTAGTTTATCCTATTATTAATCCACAACTGTAAAATTATATGGCTTCAGAATGGTGAAAAAAACTATTTCAAAATGGATTCTGGTGTATTTTCTTATTAAAGATTGTAGCATTATTTCTGCAGATAGCTACAATTGGTCATCCATATTCAGTAAACAAGATCAACAAGGCAGCTAAGGAGACAAATTCCCAACTTTTTGACAATTTTCAACAAATTCCATGACTTTTTCCAAACACTAATGAAAATCCCTGATTTTCCAGGTGCATAAGAACTCTGAATATAACAAGTCAATTAATAAAAACACAGCAAATTTTTTTCTATCAATTACTGGAAAGTCTTCACCACCTTTAAACATTTAAACACCCAGCATATAGACCCGATTTAGTGATGAGTGATTTCCACCTCTTTCCTGAACAGAAAAAGTGGCTAGCAGGGCAGAGGTTCGAGACTAATGATGATCTTAAAAACAACATTAGGGCCCATCTCAAGTCATTGGCGGCAACATTCTATGACAAGGGGATGAAAAAGCACATCCACAGATATGACAAATGCCTCAATCTTTGTGGTGATTATGTCAAAAAGTAACCTAAGTTTTGGTAATAAATTCATTTTGTTATTTACACTTGTCTTTTTTTTATGGACAATCAGAGCTTGAAAAGAAAAAACAGTCTACGTATTTTAGATGTAGTCCAAAAAAGGAAGACAAATTAACATCCAATTGATGGTGCCACCAGAGAGCAGAGTGCTTAAAAACCAGACTTCTTGCCATTCTATGTTAAAAATATAAGAGCACAGAACAATTTAACTTTTATAAATATCCTAAAACTAAGTTCATTCAATGCAAAAAATATGTCATATAGGCTACATACATAAAAAAAAAAGCCTACAAAATATTAATCAATTTTAAAGTTACATCATCTATTCACATTTTTAACCAATTGAACTATCACAGAATGATCAGAAAATATACAGTAGAGTCCCGAAAACTCAGCACTCGATAACCCGCAGTCTGGATAACTTGGCCACACCCTGGCAGGGCAAAAAAACCCCTAGTTAATTTTCATTATAGACAGCTTTATACTTCATAAAGTATTTTTCTGAGGTATGTCTAGGTAAATTACTGTACACTGTGTATTCATTAATTTTCATTTTCATGTAGTAAAGGCTCTATGCCTTCATAAAGTATGCACTTTTCCTTTGTTTAAGGGTATTCGAGCAGTTTATTCTCTGTTGTATTCTCAAGCAAACAATACATACAAGTACAGTACAGTATTTCTGAGGAAACACTCTTACTTATTCTTTTTTAACCCCATTCCCAATAACCCGGCATTTTCACAAACTTGGCCACCCTTCGGTCCATATTAGGCCGAGTTTTCAGGACTCTACTGTATTAGTAAACAGTATGTTATCTCACTATTACATACTAAGTGGCTCTAGTTAAATTTTAAGTGCTTGTATACAATAATTTTTATTGTCAGATTAAAAAAACTTCAAAAATTATATACAAACATCGCTAGACCCGATACATAATAATACTAAACACCAACCAAATTATCAAAAATTATAACTATTAAAAAAACTTGTTTTTGATTCAAACAATCAATGCATATCTAATGAAAATTTCAAATTAGATATTACAATTTTTAAAAGAGACAATAAATTCATTTTTCTTAATACATTCTCTTAATAAGATTTAACAGGCTACATAAGAAACCAGTTAATAGTCTGCAAATATCATGCACTTTATGGTCATATTTGCACTATAGTGTGTGATAAGATTAAAATAGCTGCCAATGCCTCTCTTATCTATGTTCTTTATCACAGCTGATTCTGTCTGTACAGACAATCATATGCAGTTGGCACACTTTGCTTACAAGCCTCACAAAATAATTAGAACATATTTAAAAAAAAACTATTTTTATATAAAAATTCAAAAAATTCTTAATTGATTTCAGTGTTTTTAGCATCTTGGTATCTGTGTGATTTACACACACTATATCCACTTTGAGTTTACCTTGGTTACACAAACTACATATGAAATCATGAAAATCTGAAAATAATTAATAACTGCTATTGTTCTTACACATTGAGAATATAAAAATATCCAGATATACATTTTTTCATTTGAAATGGCATTTTAAAAAGATGATGACTGATATGCTAAATGTTTGTTTCAATAAATATTACCAAACATATTTTAAATTTATGCATAATTTTAGATATTAACTTTTAAATTAAAACAGAAAATTAATATTTACCCTAAGATTGATTTCAAACATCTTTGGTAATTTCAATTGTCTTCTTCAAGTTCTACAAGTATAGAAGTAAACAAGTTCAGAAGAAACAAAGAAAATATTTTTAAAAAATGAGAGAGAGAGAGAGAGAGAAAGCTGGTTTATTTGTTCATACAATAAAATCAATCTTAGAAACAAACTGCCTAAGCTTGTATTTTAACTTCATTCTTTATTAATTGATGTAATGCACATTTAGAATTGCTTTCTCTTCAGTCAAGAACCATCTGCAAACATGAAATTTCTCTAGGCTTATTCACATTTTTTACCAGACACTTGCCCTCTGGTGTTTTAAAAACAGCTATTTTATCTAGGTCACTTCTGTCAAGGTTCATATATGTACTGAATATGTATGGACCTTTGTTTGGATCTATCTTTACAAATAAATTTATTGGAAAACATTGGACACTGTCCATTTATAATGTTTTCAAAACAAAAAGTAGGAAGTTATAATTGCTGAATTTAAACAAACTTTTTAAATCAAGATGACTCAAATATTTATGTACCAGCAGACCCCGCCATGCGTTGTTGTGGCTCAAAATGTATCTATTATAAATTTATAACACTTCCCCGTGGGGGGGAATTTTTCGAAAAATTTCTTCTTAGTGTACATTCTGTTGACGTACCCTATTAAAACGCAATCAAAAATGCAAAAAACCGCATCTAAAATAGTATAAATAGAAGCAGAGTTCTTTACGGTAAGCCTTAATCCTAACCATCTCCCTTCAGTGGGGTTGAATTTCGACAGGTGTACTATATAAAAACACGTGCGTATTCGAATGCAGCATTGTGTCAAAATTTCAAAGGAATCGGTAGGAACAAACGAACATTACATTTTTATTTATATA